TGTAATTACTTATATAAATTAACCAATAAAGATATGAGCAAGACCTCACCTTAATACCAAAAAAAAAAAAAAAAATTTTATTAAAAAATATATCAAAAGTGATTTTAAAAAAAGTTTTTTATCAAAATATTACAATTTTAATAATATCTAAATTATTAAAATTAATTAACTTTAGTCTAAAATAACTTATTTAAAATTATATAAAGTTTTTAAAAATTAAAAATTTTATAAAAATTTAACTAAGATATTAAACTAGAGATAATAATAATTTAAATATTATTAGAATTATAATAATTTATTAAATAACTTTTATTAGACCTACTTAGATAAATTAATAAAATTATAAAATTAAAATAATTTTTTAAAATTTTTAATAAATTTTTATAATTTTAATTAAATTTTATATTTTAAATATATTTACCATCCATCTGTAATAATACAAATATAATCAGCATTATTAATATTTTGTTCTACTTCGAGCTTTGTTTTATTGTATATTTTATTAAATAAATCTGTTGAAAGTTTTTTTCTTTTAGGTAAAATAAATGAAGAGTGTAATTGTTTAAAAAATTTAACCATTGGTTCAAGTTCTGAAAATGAAAAAGGAAGACTATATTGAAATATAGCTTTAGCAAAAAGATATTAAAGATTTGCTTGTTCAGTAGTATTTAAATTATCCAAGTATTGATTAAGATTGCTATTAGGTTGATTTAATGGTTTTGTTAATGTTTGATTTGCCATATAACTTGGACCATTAAATCTAGGATGTTCAAATTCTTGACCAAAATATTTTCTCAAAATTTCAATACTTGCATTAGTGCATACTTTAAAATAATCTTCACATCAACTAACTATACTAGAACACTCAAAAGAACAATAATGACATTCTGCTCTTTCTTGTGTATATCCTTCTTTAAAACCCAACTTAGTAAAATAGTCCCAAATTTTTTTAGGTTTTGTCATTTAAAACAATGTTAAAAAATAAAAAATTTAATATTTTACTAAAAATATATTGATTTAGGTAATAAAAAAAAACTTAAAGCATTTAAATTATTATTACTTTGAGCACTTAAATTTATTATTACTTTGGGTGTCTAAATTGATTATTTCTTATTTATTATATTCAGCCCTAACAAGTTTATTCATGTATTGCTCTAAGCAAGGCTGGAATATAGTAAATAATAAATAATAAGCCTAAATTTATTATAGCTTTAAGTGTTTAAATTTATTATTACTTTCACCATTTAAATTTATTATTTATTGTCATGGATCATAATAAAATCAGATTAAAATAAAATGTGTGTTTCTATTTAACTAACTAAAACATACTTATACTTGCTTAATATAAACTCTACTCTAAAACTAACTTCTAATCTTAACCCCTAACCCTAAAAAATGCTTCCCAAAAAATTTTATTTTTCGATATGCATGCTAATTTTTTAATATTATACATATATCATTTTAATCCGTCATATTTATTTGTGTATGGAGGCTGAATTTAGTAAATAATAAATAATAAGCCTAAATTTATAAAATCTGGTTTTAAATTGACAATATTAAAAAAAATTTGCTTTAAGAATACACAATAATATACTTTTTATATTGATCAAATTCTTAAGTTTTATTGGTTGTGAAATTACATACATATAAAGGATCGACAAAAAATTCGTGTACAGTACGTTGTAAAGGTGAGAAATAATGGGTGACGAATATCTATCTATAAATAACTATCTAACCACTAAACTAACAATAAATAGGATCGAAGCCGTGGCTCTAAATGTGGAAGGCGACGATTGAGGCGTGCAAAAACTTGGTCCGAGTAATTTAGAGCTTGGGCCCGATGGAGGCTACTTTTAGGTCGAGTAAGGTCTTCTTTTATTT